TTAGGGTTAGGGTTAGGGTTGGTGGAAAACTCTAATGTACAGCCATTCTCCCCTACGCAATCATTACTAAAGAAAACCTCAACGTCCAGGTAGTAGCAAGCAGCGAGTAATGCGGGATTATTGCCGCACTCGTTGCCGTCGGTCGTCGCGTCGTAGCCGTACATCGCCGTGAACGTAGAAATCGTCTGTCCCGCCGGACATTCGACATCGAGGTCCATGCCTTCGCAGCCTCTAAGTAAGAATTCTGGCTCTGGAACGTATAAGGCGCGATATATAGCTTGATTGCAGTGCACAGTGATAACCCTGGCATGCGTACGATATGTAAAGCGAGCAAGCGAGAGAGAGAGAGCGAATTATTATTAGTGCGTCAAGAACATAATATAAAAGCAATAATTTATTTTACTACATTAAACGCATTATTTATCATTATATAGCATCTATTTTACCATTTTTTAGTTAATTAATTTGAACAAGTAAGTAACAATTTTTGATAGATGTGCAAAGTATAACATTTGTAATCCGTTATAAGTACTTTGGCCTAGTATATTAGTAGATACGGCGCCGTTTGGGTTTGAATTCTATCTTCTTACCCCATGATGTCAGGTCACTAAATATGACATCGAAAACGTTGGCTACGTTTGTAGATGTCATTTCGACTGCGTCCACTAGCGAGCAGACGAGTGCGTACTGCGCCTCAAAGAATGCTCTCTGGTCGGGGTCAATGCACGTAAAGCTTACTCTCGCGATTGAGATACCATTCGGACATGAATCAGTCGCAGGGGCGAAGTTAATTTCTGCCTCTGCCCACACATTTCTATTACCAATGCACGCATAATGCGCGTCAACACCCATGACACACCGAAATCTGAGTACATGAATGACCAACAGGCTGGATGTAGCTGTTACTAGAACCATGTGATCAGATAGAACCACGAAAATCACACCGCGCATACGTGGCACTAGATCGCACTAATTTGCATTATGAACACAAGGCTTCACGGATGTATAGAAAGCATGAAAAGTGAGATTGCTTTTGTTGTAATTGTGTTCGGTCAAGCGACGTAGCCATGGTGACCGGTCTGCCGTTATTGAGTTTGAAACGGGATCCGACTATTTGCTGGAAATGCGCATCATTAAGCTGTCAATTATTTCGAGCGGAGTCTGAACCTTGAAGCTGAGGTTATTTAGCATTGATGAAGTTTATGTTGTCTGTGTGTTGAAACCTGCTGAGTATTTTTAATTAATTTCTGCGTAGTGCTTATTCAGGCCTGCTGCCTATAGACGCCCTCTACTGTAGCCCAACACCAAAAATACTGACCTTTCTCTATCACTAGACGTCATTGCAGAGCCGAGCCCTACATGATATTTGGCCCTGCCTCTGCTCTCAAATGCACTCAAACTCATTCGTGTAGATGCAGAGTGCTTATGTGCTGCTCGACCCTATCTGCTACTGGTCCGAACTGGACTAGACCGTATGGTAGCAATTAACCCGTCCACTGGAAACGAAGCACCGTTTTCAGGGTGCGTAACGATTGCACAAATACCATCATGGGTCTAGGACTCTAGGTAGAGCACGACGATTGCAGGCGCCTCCAATGTTCACACTATCATGGGTCTAGGTAGAGCACGACGATTGCAGGCGCCTCCAATGTTCACACCATCATGGGTCTAGGTAGAGCACGACGATTGCAGACGCCTCCAATGTTCACACTATCATGAAACCTCGAACGGCTTTCTTGGATTATTTCTCAACTAATCCAACTTACTATGTAACAGCAACAACAAATGGATCTACTAAAGTTGTACATGACCAGCATATTGAAAAACAGCAACTACGAGACATTTTATTGTATTATTTCTGAAATTTTTTTTTATTTAAAGATAGGAAAATGGGTTCAAAAGGATTACAGGCACGGTATATGATGTACTAATCAACGCATTGTTCTTAATCATACTTGTTAATCGAATATTACTCTAAATAATTTATTCTCCGAAATGTGCACAAAACCGTTAAGCAATTAATCAAAAACTAACATGTTGTTTATTCATAAAAGTTGTCAATGCAGATTTCTAAACACATGTCTTAGATTCCTTTACATCTGACTATAAATTGGGGAATTTCTGTCTGTGTGTGTGTCCGGCTATACGTTTCCGCACCGCTCAACGGATCCTCTCCAAACTTGGTCGGAACATTCTACAGATCATGACAAGTTGCATGGGCTATTTAATTTCACAGTTTTATTTTTTTCACATTCCACGTGACGTTCAAAAACATTAAAAAAGTGGGAAATTTTTGCACCCA